TTGAGACAGCATCTCTCTCTGCAGTTCAGTTAAGGCTAGCCTTGAGCTCACTTTGTAGCCCCCAGGCTGGTCTTGAACTTACAACCATCCTCCTACCTCAGCCTCCCAAGGACTGAAATTGTAGGCATGCACCACAACGCCAGGGTTTTTTTTTTTGTTTTTTTTTTTTTTCAGTACCAGGGATCAAAGTCAGGATCTTGCGCTTGCCAGGCAGGCATGTATGCTGCTGAGCTATATCCCCAGCTCCTTGTTTTTTTTCTTAATTGAGAAAACATCTGTTTAATACTGTTGTGTGTCCGAGACTGCCCTTGCCACATCAGATTAGAGTCCAGTCTAGCCCAGTCAGAGAGCAGGAGTCCCTGTTTCACCCTGATTGCAATCGTACTGTACCTGTTGTGGGAGAATGTCAGCAACGTACACATACGTGTGTGCCTGTGCATACACAGTTAATTCACAGAGCCAAAGCAGAGTAACTTTGAAGAACTGGCAGCGTGCAAGCCAGCGACCTGGACCGTACACTGACCTGTGAAATTAGGGTAGAGTCCTCAGCTCCTAAGAGATGCCCCCCCATTTCTCAAGGTTTCAGGGGACATTTAAGAAAGCCCAGTGTCAGCTAGATGTGATGACGCATGCCCGTCATCTCAGCACTCTGGAGCTTGAGCTGAGAGGTTCATACGCCCAAGCCCAGGCAGTTTACTGACTTAATGAGACCTTGTCTCAAAATTAAAACAAAAATAACGTCAAGGGCTGGGGATGCAGCTCAGTGCCAAGACACTGGGTTTAATACCTAATATTGCCAACACAAAACCAGTACACGTCAGGGGCCATATTCCCACCCTGAGTTGTGGGTCCCAGCCGGACACTGTCCCAGCCCTTCAGTGTGGCTGCCCTGAGCAAGGAGCAGCCCTCCGACAGGAGGCCAGCTGGCCGAGGGCTAGGCGCTGCTCCACCCCTTTAGCTGCAGTGCAGCTGCCTGTCCTGGCATCAGACTGTGTGGCATCTGTGGCCCAGGCTTTGCAGAAGGGGTGACATCCTCAGAAGGTGGTGCTGGGTCAAGAGCCACCTGGCAGTTCTCCCGGGCATCTGCTCCCTTCCCTGCTCCGAGAGGGCTGCCACACGCTCCTGCTGGAGGCCTGTGTGCCGGGAGTCAGGTGACACAGGAGCTGGGCCTGGGGTTTCCATGCATTTGAGGCTTATCTATAGTGAGTTCAGTGACAGATGTTGTCTCAAAAAAAGAAACAGTATGGAGCTCCGTTCAGCCTGTTTGCCCCTAGGAGCCTGATAGTATCCTTCCTCACGTGCTCACGTTTCACATGAGACACAAGCTGCTGGAGGTGAAAAGGTTTCCCCACAGTTACGAAAGGACTCCAGCCAGGTTCTGATACTCCAGCATCCCAGCTTGTCTGTGACCCCCTCAGAACACAGCACACATCCGTTTCTTCATTTTCTTAAAGCCCATGGCTCCATGTCACTCATTAAGGGGCGACCTTGCGGAAAGCTTCACAGACCCAGTGCTTTCTGGCATAACATGTTGATGCGGGTCAGAGCATGTTTTCTGTTTATAAAGTCCTCCACCCACAAATGTAATGCCTTCCGGTCTTAGCAGATATGCACCACATAATTTTGCAGTTTAAGGTGCAACAGAAAAGCTGAGCAAGAATTTCTGTTTTCTTCCTCACAGTGTCAGAGAGAGAAGATGGGTTCATAGATCTTAGCACCAGGGCGCACAGTTCCTACTCAGGTCTAGAACTGTCACCTTTTCACCTAAAGGAACTACTTTGTGGCTTTTCCTTGACACATCCAAATTGCTGTCATCACTGGTCTTATGCTTTGGGGCCATTCTTTTTTTTTTTTTTTTTTTAAGGATCCCTATTTTCTTATTTATTTGTGTGTGTGTGTATGTGTGTGTGTGTGTGTGTGGCCAGCTCAGCCCACCAGGGGGCAGGGCGGGCTGGCATGTGGTGCTGGGGCTTGAACCACGGTCCCTGTGCTTTGCTAACCTAGTTGTAGGTAGGTGCTTTAGACCACTGAGCCATCTCACCAGCCCCATAGGGCCGTTCTTAAGTAAAATAGGGAGCAGTAATCTGATAGCTGAGATGGTTACTGCCGAGAGGGTAGCGTATACAGTGTGGACAGAAGGGCTCTGAGCCCTGTGCTGCTTCCTTCTCGTGGCTGCACTCTTCATGGCCTCTTTTGCTTGTCTCTTCACATTGCTGGATAGCGTGTATCCACAGCTGTTTTGTCTCTGTCTTAGGATTTGACATGGCCCCAACTTTCTGCTGTAGCATAGAGAAGGATTTACCAGTTTTATCTTTTTTGTCCCCCACAGTGTTTAGAACACACTTTGCCTGTGCTATAACTCAGCTGTGGTGGCAGGCAGCTCTGGGCTGCGAATGGGGCTGTTTGCAGAGTGACCGCCACGCCTGTCCCCCAGGGCTTCTCGTGGGTGGCAGAGCTCCCATTCCAGGCTGGCTTCCTGCAGAGCATGCTGCTAGGCTGATCTCTGGGAGCTGTCACCCCAGTAGTGCTTTCATTTTGGAGCTTGTGCTCCCCAGGGGTCAAGTCAGCCTCCTGGTTTGGGACACTCCTGGAGGCTCACAGTCCACAGCTTCCCCAGGTGTATGTGGGAGGCCTAGAAAGATCAGCTTCCAGTTAAAGGGATGGAGGGCACTGGACAAGGCGCCTGGTGAGCCCCAGCCCTGACCTGTAGCCCTGGTAGTTCTTCTCCCTGCACCTTCCAGCCTGACTCTTTCTCTCTTTGTTTTTTGTGTAGAATCTTGTTTCCTGTTCGCCCTCACGCACCGGAAGCTGCCCCCCTTTTGCCAGCAGGGCTACCTGCAAATGCAGGGGCTCATGAGCACCCAGAGCCTTCGGGAGCATGGTGTGGAGAGCGGACTCCTGCGGGACTATGCCACCATGGGCCAGGTGCTGGAGGACAGCGGTCAGCAGCATGATGACCAGGAGCCAGTAGGTCTCCCCCTGGCCACAGGGCAGCTGATCCAGTCCCTCAGCAGCAACAAGGAGGAGCTCTGACTGCTCTTCTAGACTGTGGGCAGAGTGGCCGGGGTTCCCCCGAGGCCCAGTCAGGCCTCCTGTTTCCTCAGAGCCTCAAACTCCCACAGACGTGTGACTGACAGAGACTGGGCAGGCCCTCACCAGGGCCGCACCAAAGCAATCCTCGGGGCATTTGAGGGCTGGGATGACACGACTCCATCAGTGGCCTTCCTCCCATCTTGGTCCCTGGGTGCCAGGTGGCAGGGTCAGGAGAAGGGTCTCCTCCACCAGCTGAGCCCTGGCTTCCACAGCTGTCATCTCCAATAGACCACAAGCTGGATCCTGGCTGTGGAGCATTTCACAAGTGAAACCCATCCTCATCTTCATAAGGGGTTGCAGCAGGTGCTGTAAAACAAAAGCTTAATGTCCTCCACCAGGTCTTGGGCTGTGGGATTATTACCCCAAGACTACTGCTGAGGACCCCAGCCCAGGAGATGTGGAGTCCCTCCCAGAGTGATCAACCACAAGTGCCTGTGTGCAGGGGCCTCTTTCCCTGCTGCCTCACCCATCCTGGTCCCTACTGTCAGCATGGCTTGGACTTGGCAGCAGAACCTGGGGGCGGGAGGAGGTGGCCTGGCTTATCTCTCGAGCACAGGGGCTGGCATGGGGCAAACAGATGCTCTCTGCAACACATCAGGACTCCAGCAGGTTCCTGCCTGAGCAGCAGAACGCAGGTGCACAGAGTGCCCTGTCCCTAGGGTCACGCCACCGAGGAACCTGCAGCTCTGTGACCCTCCTGCACTCAGCCCCTGCCCAGTCCAGGTCAGTGAAGCTGCTTTTGTGCAAGGAAACATTGGCAGAGGCTTTCGGAAGACACCTAGCTGTAAGCGCCTCTCCCTTGTTCTCCGTCACCAGGTGCGCTCCCCCCTCTGGGGCTTCGGTCTCACTTGGGCGTAATCCACAGGAAAACATTTGTGCACTGGGCAGTCACGGTGGCTTCTCAGAACCCAGGATCAGGGGACTTGCTTTCTTACTAGTTGTCACCAGTTTTTCAAGGATGCACTCAGAATTCCAGGGACACTGAGCTTTCGAGACCCAAATCCTGTTCCAGGAGCATCTTCTTAGCTAGACACAGACCCACAGCCCCATCTCGCTCTGGTTGCTTGCAGGGCTCCAGCAGGCTTATCCTGCCGGGAGGAACTGTTGGCCCTCAAGCCCCACTTATGAAAGTTTGCAAAGGCCAACATTTCTCTAAGGGTTTCTCGTTAATCCCGGGATGTGGCACTCACTGTATCTCAGATAGATTACATGTGAACCCTAATTGGATGCCGTCATCCCACCCTGTCTTTTCCAAAGCATCTTTCAAATGAATCTTCCCATCAGTACTCTGCCTGAGATAGCAGCTCCTGTTCCACGCGTCTCGCCCACCCAGCTGGGGCTGGCTGAGCCACTTGTTCCACTAAAATGGCGAGGCGCTGTGACAAGGAGCTGACTGATGCCTGAGCAGGAGACATCTGCTGCGTTTCTCTCCGTCCGCCAACCTGTCAGTGCCGTGAAAATACCAGTCAGCCTTATTTGTTTTTAATAAGGCACAATTCCATTCTTGCTCAGTTCACTAGAGAAGCCTCCCCACGTTTTCTTTCTATATAAATTAGTAGCTGATTCCAAACAAGGAGGATCATGGCTGCACTAGGCGAGTCCCCAGGAGGACTCCATCCTGGCAGACCCTCTTTTTTTTTTTTTTTTTTTTTTTTTTGATTGAACTCAGACCCTTGCACTTGACAGGGAAGTGTTTATTCCACTGAGCCATCTCCCGGCCCCCAGACCCTCTTCTTACATGCCCTCAGGTGCCACAGCTTCAGGGGTGCCATCTTTGGGTGGCCTCCACCTCCTGCTGAGTTGGGTTCTTATTTTTTTACTGTGTTGCCTCAGTTCCTTTTTTTGGCAAGTCTGGACTTGCCAGTAGCACAGCCCCTCTCCCAGCTGGACCTAGTTCCTGTTAAACCTTTTTTTTTTTTTTTTAAATATGCAAAGCTTCTGGTACAAAACAGATAAGTCAGGGAGATAATCAGGAGGCCAGAAGGCAACTCTACTGTAAATGAGATGATTTAAATAATCACCAACCAATAAAAGAGATTTATAGAACTGCCTGAAATGTTAGACCAACTGGTTAGTAACTTGGGAAAACTGTGTTTTGTTTTGTTTTTTTCAAGACATGGTTTTGTGATGCAGTTTAGGGTTGACCTTGAAATCATTTTGTATGGACTGGGGATATAGCTCACTGGCACAAGCACCCGCCTGGCAAGTCCTGAGTTCAATTCACAGCAACCCTTCTGCCTCCGCCTCCCAAGTCCTGGAATTCTAGGTGTGTGCCGCTACAGCCAGCTTGTTTTCCTTTGGGACCCTATTTCATATTATGAAGGTAATTTCAGATATGATTTTTGAAGCCATATAGAAGGGAGTGTAGGAGGGGACCGTAGTCAAAGAAAGGACTTTCCAAGTTTCAGGCAACAGAATTTTTTTTTTTTTTTTTTTTTTCTCGGAACCAGGGATTGAACTCGGGCCCTTGGGCTTGCCAGGGAAGCTCCACTGAGCCATCTCCCTGGTCCCCAGAAGAATTTTCCCAGAGGAAAATACTTAGCATTTCCGGGCACACCCATTCAACCCTTACTAATTGACTATTTTAGAGGGGGGAAAAAAAGGAAAAATAACGTGGGTGAATATAGCAGAATGTAGCACACAATGGGGCTGGGGAGGTAGCTCAGCACTGTTAGGTGAGCACAGTGACCTCAGCTCCATCCCTGGCACCACATGTCACACCAGCCCTGCCCCCGGGACGGGTTGAGCGGGCCAGAGTCCGGGCGTGGCGGCTCACACTTGTAATCCCAGCACTGGAGAGGCTGCAAGCAGGAGGATCACTGTGAGTCTGGGCTTCATGATGAGACCCTGTAACAACCAAACGTAACACAAGATGTGTAAATGACTGAAGTAAAAGAGACTTCTTGGTAAACAACTTTATGCAGCAGACTATTCCATAGCTCTGAAAGGCCGGGTATTACAAATGTACATGTAATCAAGTGGGGAAAACAAAATGTGAAACTGTGGTCCAAACTACATCGAATTACTTGTAACTGTAAAGATGGAAACCCACATAGCTGGGCATGATGGCACGCTGTGTGGTCAAGGCCAGCCTGAACGATATACTGAGACTCAGTGTCAAAAGAGGAAAGCCTATGTGCAGGAGAACATAGTGAGGAAACATCACAGAACTCCATGATGGGGCTGGTGAGATGGCTCAGTGGTCTAAAGCACCTACTTAGAACAAGCTAAGCTAAGCAAAGCACAGGGACTGCGGTTCAATCCCCCAGCACCACATGCCAGCCAGCCCCGCCCCCTGGGCTGAGCTGGCCCCACGCACACAAAATAAATAAATAAATATTTAAAAAAAAAACAACTCCATGATGGTTAGAATGGGTGGGAGATGGGGGGGAGTCCTTTTCAAGTTTTGTGGTTACGTTCTATAGTGCAATAAATACAACTATTTTTTTTTTTTAATACAACTATTTTCCAAAAACTTTTATTTTGAAACTTGGAGTTGCTGGGGCAAGTGGACACAGGTCTTCCCAGAAGACAGGTTCTGCTTCCTTAACCAAGCAGTGTCCTTGCAGCGTCTCTGTAGAGGAAGCCACTTCCTTCCCCACCAGTTGGGAAGAGACAAAACCAAGGGTCAAGTGCTCAGCTGAAGAACTGAAGTGAGAGCAGCATGTGTTGGGACTGATCTAACCAGCACAGTGAAGGTCTCTGGAAACATCTTCCCTCCCGAGTGATGGAAAATGAAAGATCAAAATCCTCACTTGGTGGGGACTTCCTGTGTTTAGAATCCAGGTCACTGTACAGCCCAAAATTCCTTTTATCTTATAAAAGGGGATAGTCTGCCTAGAAACGTACTCACCAAAATGGATTTGTCTACTAAGCTAATCATAATACCTAATCATTTTATGAGTACCTGCTGTATGCCCACAAACTCCGATACTTCTCTCCTGTTCAACTTTATGTTGCTGTAACAAAATACCAGAGGCTGGGTAATTGTTGAATGAAAATTGATTTTGTTCACAGTTTTAGAGGTTCAAGAGTATTCCACTGATACCTGGCCAGCTCTGGCAAGGACACTTTGGCTATGTCACAGGGAGTCCGTGTGAGAAGGACAGATCACATGACAAATCAAGAAGCCAGAGAACAGGGAGGAGTCAGTCTTGCTCTTTCATAACAGCTGACTTGGGAGAGGACCATCTCCTGCCCTCAAGACCTCCCACAGTGACCCAGTCACCTCATTAGGCTACGTGTCAAAGTTTCCACCACCTCCCAGCATCACCACAGTAATGAGGAAGCTTCCAGATCATGAACCCCTGGGGGACAAACTGCACCAAACAGCAGCACTGTATTGAGGGTGGGCTAAACTTAGCGATTCACTGTGAGCAGCTAAAACAGCATGAGGGATGGGGTGTCTTTTCCAAGATTAGATTATAAAGACCAGCATTCACCCACAGAGATTCTCCCATACAGAGATCGTGCCCTCTCCTTCCAGCCCCCGCCCCAGTCTAGGGGAGGCTATCCATTATGTCACAAGAACGGGCAGCCTGTGCAAAGGCCCATGTGGCACTGGGCGTGGTGGTGCACGTGTGTAGCCTTCCAGGACCTGGAAGGCTGAGGCAGAAGGATTGTTGTAAGTTTGAGACCAGCCTGGGCTACAAAGGGAGTGAGAGAGCTCAAGACCAGCCTGAACTACATAGCAAGACCGTCTCAAAAAGAAAAAAGAGGGGCCCGGGAGATGGCTCAGTGGAACAAGCGCTTCCCTGGCAAGTGTAAGGGCCTGAGTTCAATCCCCGGTTCCACAAAAAAAAAAAAAGAAAAAGAAAAAAGACTCCTGTGGCAAGGAACCCAGACCTGTCAACAGCCATGTGAGTGATCTTGGGGGTGGACTGTACCAAAATGAGATGACTGCAGCCCCAGCCAGTAGCCTACACAGTCTCATGAGTGGTCCTAAGCCAGATCTACCCAGCCAAACCATCACAAAGTCCTTATGTGCAGGTGCTAAATCTGAGTGGTATTTATTACTTGACAATGGACAGCTAATACACTAAGTCCCTGACATTTTTCAATGACCTCTGTTCCAGGAGAATTGTTTATAAGTAAGATTCATTCATAAGCTGACAAGAGTAAGTCTTATACAAACAATACATCTGTGAAAGTTTGCAACTTGAATGTTCGTAAGTAGGTCATTGACACGCACTACATCATTTACCTATATGATTTAAATTCTCAAGCATAAGAGGTATATACAACTATCCCCACTGTCTTAATCCCTTTCTTGTTTCGGGGTCAAACCCACACATCAAGGCTCACATTTGCAGTCCATGATCAGCTGGCCCCAAAGCAGCAATGGTGTGGTGCAGGGGAACAGCATGGGAGAGCTGTTTATAGGATCTGGGGAGGGGTCTACACCCTTCCAGGTCACACCCCCACTGGCCCAAGGCACCACTTCTCAACAGAAAGTCATCTGTAGCACTCCCATAATCAAACTACTTCCCAAAAGTCCCATTTCTGAAGACATGAGGCATTTTGGGGACATTCTAGAGCTAAACCATAACACTCATTCTACAGATGAGAAACCAGGGCTGAGAACAATTGCAAAAGAGAGAAAGGTGGGGATCCTTGGAAAACCCACTTTGTCCATCCTATCTCCTGGGTAGCAGCAATCCACATGCCAGTGGCAGCCTGCTCATCGCCCCCATATGGGTTTCCTTTGTGGGGACAAGGTGACGATAAGTAAAGTGAGGGGATATAAAGTGAGAGCAACGACCAAGTCTCAAACCCAGAGTGGGGTGTGGTTCTCACAGGAGAGCAGAGAAGTTGTTGAAATCCTCATACAAGTGGCCCCAAGAAGAGAATTAGTAGCTCAGTGGTAGAGCTCATGCTTGACATTTGCAAGGCCCTGGGTTCAATCCTCGGTGCCAACAACCTGTGGGGAGGGCAGAGGCGGAGGACCCCCATACAGGGATACAGCTGGGGTGGAAGGGAGCCTTGCACTGTGGGTGTCAGTCTGCACAGGCTCGGCCTCAGTTCTTTCACCGACTACACCAGCCCCCAAGAAGCCAAATTGGATCTTTCCCTTGAAAATAAACCAGTCTGCATCATTTCACTGCAGATGCTTATTTTTTAAATATGGTGAAAATGCTGACTGGATAAGGATTTTCATCAGACTGCAGGCTTTAAAAAAGCATTTAATTCAATCTGGCAGTCCAGACGGAATGTAAATCTGCTACAAAGTGACGCTGGTGGGCAAATAGGAGATGCTTCAGCCCAAGTACTTAATCCAAGTGCATCGCACAACCAATCCATCAATGCTGAAGTAAAAAATAGCGCACAACAGATGTACTTGCGGGGAAGGGAGGAACAGCAGGCTACCCTGTCTCGCTCCTTTCTTGATTCTGCATAAATAAGCCTGATGAGCCTGTTCTTGTGAAGAGGCCCCAAGCTTAGTGCTCCATGCAAAATCTTTCAGAAGTCTGTCACCCGCTTCTTCCTGCTCTCTGAGATTCGGCCATCTCAGAGCCAGACTGTCGAGGTGTTCCAAGTCATCGAAAGGGCTTAGAGGCAGAGAAGCCCCAGAGCCAGGAAAAGATGATGGTGACTGTCTCAGAGCATTCAGTGTGTTGTTATCTGTCATTGTAGATTAGAAATAAAGCAACCGCAGAAATGGAAGAGGTGAGGCCTTAACGCCAGCCAGATTTAAGCTGCTTGCTTTTGGCTTTGCAGCACTGGAGATGGGATGCACAGCCTCTTGCATGCTCGGGAAGGGCTGTGCCACTCAGCTACATCCCTAGCTCTTTTTAGTTTTTAATTTGTGACAAGATCTTGTTAAATTTCCCAGGAACTTGACACCTTCCAGCTTTAATCTCCCAAGCAGCTTGGATTACAGGTGTCTACCACCAAGCCCTACTGGGTTTAATTTTTATGTATTTATTTTATTTTTTTATGTATTTAGTACAGGGTCAACAGGGTCTCATACGTGCCTGTTTTCAGCCTCCCAAGCGCTGGGATTACAGGCATGCTCCATCACGCCCAGTCTCAATGATCATCTCAGTGTGCCCCAGGGGCAGGACCAGCAAGGCACACCAGGGATCGAACCCTGGTCACTGTGCCTACCTAAGCATGCACTTTAGTCCACTAAGCTATCTGGCCAGTTTTTAATTTTTAAATGAATCTATCTGTCAGGAAAGTAGCTGTCCCGAGAAATCCTCATGGGGAGGCACTGTGTTGATTAAAAACAAATGAACTTATTTAAATGACAATGGAATGCCCTTCTCTGACAAAACTAACCAAAAAAGGGGATACAAATGAACGACCATTTTGTATCTGTATATTCAAAATAGGATAAATATGCAGCTGCATTCCCTTAATTTAGTGAATAGAGATTTGTTCTAGTAGTGTTTGTGGACAGGATATCATGTACAACAATATGCAATGTATTAATTATTTAAATTTTGCTAGTATTCAGTTTTGGAACTGTCTCATTGCTGTTGGTTTCTCAATAAAATTATTTTTTAAAAAATTTAAAAAAAAAATGAACTATCTAGGGCTGGAGAGATAGCTCAGCAGACTAAGTGCCTGTTTAGGTAAGCTCAGGGACTGGGGTTTGGGCACCAC